AGAAGAGTTCCCACAACAGGTGGAGGTAAAAATGAGCAGGAACTGTTATGTTAGTTGGGATGTTGCTAGAGACCCAGGCATACACCTGAAGGGCCTAAGCACAGCCACACTTGGCCACAAACACTCACCTGAAGCTCCAGAGAAGGTACAGCAGCCAGGGACATATAAGGAAGAAGTGGTTGTCTGGATTCGGGGCGAGGGCTGGAGCAGAAGCTCCCTCCTGGGATAAAGTGCTGGCATGTGCCATCGTTCCTTTCTTGAGGCTTCCCCCTCACACACACAGCCTGTGGCACAAGCGAGTGCCAAATCTCAGTTTCCATCGACCTGGATAACATTCTCACCCCAGCAAGATGATTCTTCAAGACTTTGCCCCTTCCAAATTACATACCCATCCCAAATCTCTTTCAGAGGTTAATCCAAAATAGCAGCTGCTCTAAACTTATGCTGAGAACTTCCCTAAAATCTCTTAAAGGTCCACTCCTGCAAATGAGCTACATATGGGTTTGGCACATACTGTACCACATGCTAAGTGGCCCCAAGCCCAGGGCTAGAGACAGCAGCCCTTGGTTGACTGCATAACCACTCCTGGTAGCATCTAAGCCCAGCACAGGCAGCTACTAACTGCAGAACACTTTTTAGCTCCTACCAGGAGGCTCTAGGCCCAACACAGGCAGCAGCTGAACTTAACCTGCTCTGGAACCCCTCCCAGAACCAACATACCTTGTGGCTGGCATCAGACCACACCAGAGCACCACCCAATCAGCATCACAAATGACACACCCAAAGAATGGGTGCAGCAGGCACCAGAGGTGATCTAAAGTAAATCCTGCTCTGTTGAGTCACCCCCACACAACTGCTCATCCACTGTAGTCACAGCCAGTCTTCACAGGCAGTCAGTCTGAGGGTCTATTCCAGCCACTGATATGCCAACAGCAATCAAGGTTCAACTATGAGGACGCTGAAGAAAAAAAGGAGACCCCTACTGTAAAGAGCTCCTGAAGTGTCACTGGACTCAAATGAAAAAGCACAGTCCAGCAGCCACTTCTGCACAGGGGTCTCTCATGAAAACTTCGCTTCAAAGAGAAACAACTGTACTAAACTGCCTACTTCTGCATTAAACTGCCCGCCTCTGCCCTGAACTGCCCACCTGCACTGTGTTCCTGCCCTCTGAGCCAGCTGGATAAAGGAGCTCCTGGACTCCTATTTCAACCAATAGGACTGAGGCTTTCCCACTGAGTCAGAGCTGTGCAGCTCAGGCCAATCACAGTGGCTCTATTCTGATCAACCAAGATAGTGCCTTTGAACTGATAAAACTGTGAGGATTTGGAGTCCTCATCTGAATGAAGATGATTAACTCAGGGACCAGGAACAGAGATTTCTGTCCATATAAACCAGCTCCTCTATGACTCAAAATGTGCACTAGCCACCAAGGCCTAAAGACTGTGTGTCCCTGGCTAGAGCTGGAACATCAAAGCTGTATCACTGGAGCAGAGCGGAGCACACCAGTGCAGAGTGGAGGACAGCAGAGCTGCCTAGCCGGCGGGGGACCTGACTCCACAGCTATTTGGCCCCAGAGCTTTTTCATGTCATGATGTTTTTATGGCCACACTGTTTCATGTATCACTGTTAACTCTGCTTGCACTGAATAATGTTTCCTACTGTACCACGCCCCAAAGTGGGGGTTAATGTTAGCATTAAACTGGCACCAAGAACCATCAGTTGACAACTACAAGAGGAGAGCACACACAAACCACACAGGGGACATCCTTGGAGCACCTGGCTCAGGTGAATGGGGAGACTGCACCACTGGGCCCCATAGGACACCTATGATATGAGGCCACTCTGCCAAAACTGAGAGATGTGGCAGACCAACATAATATATAGAATCAAATGCAGGGAACAGCCAAAGCAAGGAGACAAAGAAAACATTTTTTTAAAAGTCAGAAATGAAGAATACAATAACTGAAATAAAGAACACATTAAAAGAAATCAACACCAGATTAGATAAATCAGAGGACTGAATCAGTGATTTAAAAAAATAAGGTAGTTGAAAATATCCTATTGGAACAGCAGGAAGGGAAGAAAAATATTTTTTTAATGAGAACAACATCAAGCATAACAACATTGGCATCATATGGTACCAGAAAAAGGAGAGAAAGCAAGGAATTGAAAAGCTATTTGAAGAAATAATGACTGAAAGCATTCCTAAATTGGTGAAAAAATAAATAAATATACAAATCCAGGAAGTTCAGAGAGTCTCAAACAAGATGAACCCAGGGAGGTCCACAACAAGACATATTATCATTAAAATGCTAACTTTAAAAGTAGCAAGAGAAAAGCATTTAGTTACCTACAAGGGAGCTCCCATAATACTCAGCTGATTTTTCAATAGAAACTTTGCAGTCCAAAAGTGATTGGCATGAAATAATCAAAGTGATATAAAGCAAGAACCTACAACCAAGACTACTCTACCTAGCAGGGCTGTCATTTAGACTCAAAAGACAGATAAAAAGCTTTCCAGACAAGAAAAAGTTGAAGGAGCCTCTCATCACTAAACCAGTATTATAATTAATGGTAAAGGCCTTATTTTAAGAAGGAAAAAAACATGAATAGGAAAATAGTGCAAAAAATATCCTCACTGACAAAGGTGAAACATAATAAAAGCAGAGGATCAGCCAAACACTAAAGCTAGTATGAATGCTAAAAGGTAAAAATGGGAAGATTATGTGTACTTACAACAGTGAATTAAGGGGTACACATAAACACATAAAGAAAGATGTAAGAAATAATGACCAAAACATGAATGTGGAGGGCATGAGTAAAAATGGTAATAATTTTAAAATGTGTTCAGACTTAAGTGATCATCAACATTAAATAGATTGCTATAAACAGCTTGGTGTATATGAAACACATGGGAACCACAAACAAAAAATTTACAAAAGGTATGTAAAATATAAAGAGAAAGGAATTCAAACACAACACTACAGAAAGTCACCAACATACTAAAGAAGAGAACAAGAGAATAAGAAAGGAACAGAACTACAAAAACAATCATAAAGCAAATTGATAAAATTGCAATAACTGAATATCTATAAACAATTACTTTAAATGTAAATTGATTAAATGGTGCAGTCAAACACGAATGGATGAAGAAGAGGTGGCACATATATAGAATGGACTATTACCTGGCCATAAAAAGGATGAAGTCTTACTTTTGTTAAACATAGATGGACCTAGAAGGTATTATGCTAATGAAGTAAGTCAGGCAAAGAAAAACAAATAACATATGATTTCACTTATAAAGTGAAATCTAAAACACAAAATAAATGAACAAACGAAACAGAAACAAACTCATAGTTAGAAACTGATGTTTGCCATATGGGACAGGTGTTGGGAGACTGTGGCAAAAAGGTCAAGGGATTAAAAAGTAAAAATTGGCAGTTACAAAACAGTCAAGGCTATATAAAGTACAGCTCAGGGAACACAGTCAATAATATTGTAATAACTATGTGTCGTGTCAGGTGACCTCAACACTTATTGGGAATCACTTCAAAGTTTTATAAATGTCTAACAACTGTGCTCTGCACCTGAAACTAATATATAATATTGAATATCTAATGAAATTTAAAAATAACAAAAATAGTGACAAGGGTATAAATTACAGCATAGGGAATATAGTCAATAATATTATAATAACTATGTATGGTGTGAGGTGAGCACTAGATTCATCAGGAGGATCACTTTGTAGGTTATATATGTTGTACACCCGAAATAATGTAATATTGTATGTCAACTGTAATAAAAAAAACAAAAAAATAATAATTTAAAAACAAATTTTAAGTCAAAATCCTTTGAGCATTTCTTGGAACAGCTCCAGAACTTACTGATTTCAGGAGAGCCTGAGTACCCATGAAAAAAAGTTTATAGAACACAGCAAGTATATATAAAAATAATTTTGCTATCATTTCAGGAGTCAATGAAATAGAAAATCATTTATTAAGAAAAATATATTCACTAGGTATTTTGAGGACACGTTGAAAGACCTTGTGGTCACCCTGTTAAAGGTGGGAGTTTGGGAACCAGTTGATACATGGAATCTTGTGCCACGTCCAAATTACAGTGGACCCAATTATTCACAGACCTACCCAGGGATCATTTCTCTGATATCCAAATATATAATCACAATGAACATACTTGATAACTTTGAGTGGAAAAATGTAAACATTGGTTCCTGGGACTGTGGAACAACAGTTAACTAGTGAGAAACCCAAGAAGAATCCTTTAAATTGTATCCTTTGGCTAAGATAGTAAATCAAAACAATATTTTTATCCCAGGGAGCAATGGCAGAGATAACACACCCTCGAGACCTGAAGAATGCAAGGTGGATCTACCCTGTCATATTTCACGTAGTTCCGCATTCTGGCCACTGTGGGGAAAAAGAAAACAGATGGGTTGTGGTGGGTGGCAGTGATGTGTAACAGTCTGGCTGAGTAGCAACCCCAACTACCTTGCCAGATGTAGGATATTTGCTAGATACACATGGTATTCAGACAGCCTCTCATATGGCAAGTGTGTTTTTTTATTAAATTTATTGGGGTGACATGGGTTAATAATATTATATAAGATTCAGGTGTACAGTTTTATGATACATCATCTCTTTATTGCATTGTGTGCTCACCATCCAAAATCTAGTCTCCTTTTGTCACAATTCCTTTAGGCCTGCAGAGGTCATGGCTGATCTGAGCCATACAAACTTTTAAATATTGTTACGTACATCACGTGCATAGGTCCAAGGTCATGACTAGGGATGTGTTTGTATGTGACTAATGTTAAGCCATAACATTTAATCCATCAGCCTGGCTATAACACATTTTGTAAGGATGTGTGATGTTTGATAGTAAGTGAATTGTATTGAAAGATACCACAAACTCCAAAGTCAGTGTGGTATAGTTTTTTGTTTTGTTTTATTTTGCTTCGTTTGTGAACATCAAAGTCAGTGTTATCTTTTTTTTTTTCACTTACTGCTGAAAATGGCTGGGAAAATACATCATTCAGTCATCCAAGAGATGTTGAAGAACTTTAGCAAATGGTACTCAGTCTGATGATGAGAATAAGAGAGCCAAATGTGAAAATGAAAGTGATTTAGAAGATGAAGATTATGTGGAGGTTCATCCAGAAGATCCAGATACCAAGCAAGATATTCCTAGTGAAGAAAGGGAAGATGAATTAGACATGAATGAAGGGTATTTTTTTTGGGGGGGGGGAAGGATAACGAATCAAAATGTTGGGAAAATCCAATAAGAAGACAACTTAGAAAACGGCCACAGAATATTTTGCGTCAACTTTCATTAGTTTGGCCAAATGCAAAATATGCTAAGACAGAACATGAAACTTGGAACTGCTTTATCACAAATGCTATTTTAGATCTAATCTTATTATATACAAATAAATACAATGATTCTATCTTGAGCTAGTTTTCGCCAGAAAGAGAGGCTAAATAAATAGATAAAACTGAACTGAAAGCATTTTTAGGCCTCATATCTAGCTGGTTTACATGGCAGCTATAGGCTAAATTTGCAGGATTTATGGGCTGCAGATCATAGCAGCATTGAACTTTTTGGACTTACAATGTCTTTATGGAAATATAGATTTATTCATAATTGTATCAGGTTTGATGTCAAACTTACCAACTTAGAATGCCTGAAAATGGACAAATTAGAGTCTGTGAGAGATATTTTCTCAGTGTTTGTAGAAAATTGTAAATTATGTTACTCTATGGGATAGAATGTAACAATAGACAAAATATTACCTGGATTTAGAGGGAAATGTGAGTTTAGCAGTATATTCCATCCAAGCCCAGTAAATATGGTATAAACATTTTTGCTATGGTAAATTCAAAAGTATTTTACACAGGAAATCTTGAAATATATGCTGGTGAGCAGCCCGAAGGTCCTTACTTGGTTAGTAAAAAACCAGCAGACGTAATCAGAGACTTGCAGAGCCTATTTGTTCATCAAGATGTAGCACTGCAGCTGACAGCTGGTTCACTGGTGGGAATCTTATCTCCGACTTGTAAAAGATGTGACTTTTATATGTAGGTGCTGTTCATAGAATAAACCCCAATGACCCCCAGAATTTGTGTCTTCTAAAAACAGGCCTGAAAAATCCAACTTACTTGCTTTTGGTAGAGATTGCACACTTGTATCTAAAAGAGAAAAATATAATTTTAGTTTCAAGTGTGCATTTAAATGATGCCATAAATTTAGATTTGCAAAAGTCTGACATAATAGAATATCATAAGAAAATGAAGTCAGGCGTTGACACTGTGGACCAATGACAGGTACGTATGATGTGGCCAGGAACACCAGAAGGTGGTCTATGGTCATATCCTACACTGTGCTGAATATTGCAGGAATAAATTCTCAGACTATTCATATGCTGAACAGCAATGGGAAAATAAGGTGCAGAATATCTTTAGAAACCTCATAATGCAGTTAGTGTCAGAACAAATAAAAAGACAATCAGCAATCTCTACAGGTGCGAATAAGCCTTTACACCTGAAACTTCATCAATTTCAAACACAAATTGAAGGAAAGTCTAATGATGACATAGGTTTAGCTCCCTCGATGAGGAGAAAAAGAAAAAGATGAGTTAGCTGTTATGCATCCAAAGTGAGTTGCTTATCAAAATATTTTTTTCAAGTGTTGTGGGAAGTATTTATGCCTTGAGGATCCAAGATGGTGGAGGAGTGAGAGGAAGTTACACTAATATTCTCCCAGGACCATTCTGGAATTACAACTAAGTTGTGAAGAAATCACCCGGAACACACAACTGAGAATAGTGAGAGACAAGCCTTATAACCTCTGACAGACAAAAGAATCAGCTTCAGCACAATCTGAGTGGTAGGAAATGTGGAGGGGAAGTGAGAGGGCTGGCTGGGTGCCCACAGGTGGCACCCAAAGCAGCAAGAAGATATTTAAGTGGCTGGCTGCATCCCCCTGAGAAGTGTAGGGTCCAAACCCTAAGCTGGGATCCCCACCATAGAGCACCAGAGCCTGAAAAGTACACAGGTAAAATCCATCTGTGAAAAGTGGCAGGGTTGCTCTCTGCCAGATAGCTGGAGATGCACAGAGCTGTTCAAAGGGCCAATGCATAAATTTTCATTAGCAGCCACTCACCCTGCACTCTGGCAAAGGAAGTCAGGGGCAGAGTGGACTAGAGATGCATGAGGAGAGACTGGGGATGGAGGCTTTAGAAAGAAAGCTGAGAGAGTAGCCACTGGGATCCAAGAGCTGAGTCATCCCCCATCAGCAGCAGCCATCCTGCTCAGGCAGAATACATCTCTCCCAATTTACCACAAAATGTACGGGAGATACATCCCTGCATCCTGAGGGAAAGCAATAGCTCCATCCCCAGGAGGGATTCTGCCTCGCCCTGTGGTGCATAAGCCTGACTGCTTAGTACAGAGTAGCTAGAATAACGACTAAAGGAGTGAGCCACAGACAGTAGATTCCTGGAAGTCTCAAACAGGCTGGCTAACGTTAGAAGCGGTAACCATCTGAAATCACCAGACGAAAGAAAAAAACAGTGGTATAACTAGAGGCTACTGAGACAAAATCAATCATGATCTTCCCCATGATTTGCGATATTTTATTTCCTGCATGGCTTTTTAACGTTCATTTAGGGTCCATAAATTTTATGCATATTAAATCATTAGATTTTATGCTAATAGTTTACTTCTCTCCTTTCTTATAATAGTCTGAATCTCTCTACAGCCTTATTAATACTGGTTCATTTGCTGTTGATAGTGAAATTTCAACCTTGTCCTCCAGCTCACTGATTTGATCATCTACTTCATCTAGCCTGCTTTTGATTCCTTCTACACTGTTCTTCAATTCAGAAATTGTATTCTTCATTTGCTCCTGGCTCTTGTTGATAGTTTCTATGTCCTTTTTCATGCTGATACATTTTGCGGTAAGTTCCTCATGGTTTCCCGGTGGTTTCTGGTAATTCTCTCTGAGTTCCCTGAGCTCATTGAGCTTCCTTGGAACCATTGTTTTGAACTCAATATCTGATAGTTTAGTTGCCTCTACTTCATTTAGTTCTTTCTGGGGATTCCTCTCTTCCCTTCAGTTGGAGGGGGGTGTTTCTTTGTCTTCCCATTATTTGTGAGACTCTTCTTTTTTGCTTCTGCTTCTTAAATTGATCTGTCTTGACTTCCAGACTTTGTGGTATAAACTTCTATGGTAGGAGATCTGTGAGATTCAGTGAAGCAGTCACCTTGATCTACTGAACTTGCTGCTGTTTGGATGCCTTTTATGCCATTACTCTGGAAGTAATTGGATTTTGATTGTTGTTTGGTCATTCTTTGGTGGGTCCTACCCTCCAGCTGGTTGACTGAGGGCCACTCTTCCCACCACATCTTGTGTGTTTCTGTACAGATGCTACTAAACAAAACTACAAAGCCCAGGAAACAAGACCACATCTGCAAAAATAACTCCCCCCTGCAATCCCACTATCAACCAGTATAATAAGGCTGTAAAGAGATTCAGACTATTATAAGAAAAGAGAGAAATAAACTATTAACATAAAATCTAATGACTTACATGCATAAACTTGATGGACCTGAAATGAACGTTAAAAAGCTATGTAGTAAAGAAAATATCGCAAATCATGAAGAAGACCACAGTGGATACCATCTCAGTAGCCTCTAGTATTTACCGGTGGTTTTTTCTTCTGAACGTCTCTGGTGATGCCAGATGTTGACTTTGTCTCATCTAAGGCAGCCCGTTTGAGACTTCCCGGAATCTACCGTCTGTGGCTGTCTCCTTCAGTTGTCAATCTAGTCACTCTGCACTCAACAGTCAGACTTAGGCACCACAGGGCAGGACAGAGTCCCTCCTGGGGGAGGGACTATTGTTTCCCCTCAGGCTGCTCAGAAGGTAGTGCTCTGCCTGAGCAGGATGGCTGCTGCCATATGGGGGGAAGACAGCACTGGGATCCCACTGGCTACTCCCTCCGTTCATTTCCCAAAGCCTCCGTCCACAGTCTCCCCTCAGGCATCTCTAGGCCACTCTGTCCCCACCCTTGCTAAAGCCCACGGTAAGTGGCTGTGAATAAAAATTTATGCATTGGCCCTTTAAGTGGCTATTTGTGTCTCCATCCGCCTGTCTCTGGCAGAGAGCAACCCTGCTGTTTTTCGCAGCTGGCTGTTATCTGTGTACTTTTGGGGCTCTGGTGCTGTAGGCTGGAGATCCCAGCTTACAGTTTAGACCCACTCTTCTCATGGGGATCCAACTGTTCATTTAAATATCCCTCTGGTGTTACTGCCTGAAGGCACCCAGCCAGCCTTCTAGTGTCTCCACCACACTCCTTACCAGTCAGGTTGTACTAAAGCTGATTCTTCTCTCTGTCTGAGGTTATAATGCTTCTCTCTTGCTATTGTTCAGTTGTCTGTTCTGGGTGATTTCCCCACAATTTAGTTGTAATTCCAGATTGGTCCTGGGAGGAGGTCAGTGTGACTTCAGTTCACTCTCTGCCATCTTGCCCCTCCCAAACCCCATTTATTGAAGAGGGTATCTTTTATACATTGTACATTTTTAGCCTCTTTATCAAAAATTTGCCTTGTGTGCGTGTGTAGTTAATTTCTGTGCTCTCAATGCTGGTCTGTTTCATTGGTCTATGAATATATTTTTCTGGCAATACCCGACTCTTTTGATATTGTAACTCTGTAATTAAACATCAGGGAGTGTGATATCTGGTTTTGTTCTTTTTTTCTCATGATTGTTTTAGCTATTGAGATTTTTCATGGTTCTGTGTTTAGAGATTATTTTTATTCTAGTTCTTTGGAAAATACCAATGGGATTTTGATGGAACCTGTATAAAATCTGTATAGTTCATTAGCTAATGTGGTCATTTAAATGATGTTGATTCTTAGTGGAACCTAACCAACAAAACAAACAAGCAAGGAAAATATAACCAGCAACATTGAAAGAAAAAAGAAAAAAAGTCAAGAGGGAAGGAGGGAGGAGTGGCTGGGGAAAGGGAAGGGAAGGGTCACGTCAAGAAACATGTATAAAGGACCCATGGGCAAGGCCAAAGTGGGGAAGGATTGAGGGAGGGAGGTGGGGGAGAGTAGCAAGGGAAAGTGGTGGCAGGAAGGTGGAGACAAATGTATTTGAATAAAAAATAAAAATTAAAAAAATAAATAAAATAAAAGAATAATTAAAAATAAATAAATGATGTTGATTCTTCCAATACATGAACATAGAATATCTGTTCATTTCTTTGTGTCTTCTTCAATTTTTTTCCACAATGTCATGTAGTATTTAGTGTAATAGGTTCTTCACTATCTTTGATAAGTTTACTCATGAGTACTTTATCTTTTTTGTTGCAATTGTAAATGGAATAGTTTTCTTTTTCTCATATTTTATTGTTAGTATACAGTGCAATGGATTTTACATTGGTTTTGCATAGCTTTTTGATGAAGTCTTCAGGGTTTTCTATATATAGAATCATGTCATCTGCAAAGAGTGACTGTTTAATTTCTTCATTCCCAATTTAGGTGTCTTTTATTTCTTTCTCTTGTTTAATTGCTTTGGTTAGGACTTCTGGTACTATGTTGAATAAGAGTGGTTAAGGTAGGCATCCTTGTCTTTTTCCTGATTGTAGAAGAAAAGCTTTTAGTTTTTCACCATTGAGTATATTAGCTGAGGGTTCGTCATATATGACATCTATTATGTTTTCGTACTTTCCTTCTATGGGTACTTTCCATTTTATTGAGTGTTTTAATTATAAATGGGTGTTAAATCTCATTAAATGCTTTTTCTGCATCTGTTTTATGGTCATATGACTTTTATCATTTATGTTTTTAATGTGGTAGTGACATTGATTGATTTGCATACACTGAACTATTCTTCTATCCATGGAATGAACCCCACTATATCTTTTTAATATATTGTTATTTTTAATTTCCTAGTATACTGGGAAATTCAACCTAGTAGAATTTTTGCATGTATGCTCATCGAAGATATAAACCTATAATTGTCTGTGTGTGTGCGTTTCTTTGCATGGTTTTGGTATCATGGTAGTTGACCTTTTCAAATGATTTTGGAAGAGGTATTTAATCTTCATTGACTATTTGGTAGAGTTTGCCAGTCAAGCCATCTGGTCCCATACTTTTGATCTGGGGGGAGATTTCTGATTCCTGTTTTAAATATTTTACTAGTAATTGGTATATTTAGTTTTTCCAATATGTTTATGGTTCAGTCCAGGAAGTTTGTATATTTCTAGGTTTTTTTCCCATTTCTTCTAGTTTATCAGATTTGGTGACATACACCCTATCATAACATTATTCTAATATCTTTTGTATTTTGAGGTGTTCATTATAACTTCTGCTCTTTCATTTCTTATTTTATTTGTCTTCTCTTTTTCCTTAATGAGTCTAACCAATGTTTTCTCACTATTATGCACATTTTCAAAGACCTAACTTTTTGTTTCATTGTTATTTCTATTGTCTTTTTGTTCTCTATTTTAATTATGCTTTAATGCTTTTTTGCTTTTTTATTTTTTTATTTTATTTTTTTAATTTTAAAATCATGTTTATTCTACTACAGTTGCCTCAGTTTTTCCCCCTTGGCCCTCCTCCACCATCCCACCCCCACCCCCCACTCCCACAGTCAATCCCCACTCTATTGTCCATGTCCATGGGTCATTCATACATGTTCTTTGTTTAGTCCCTTCCCCTTCTTTCTACTATTATCTTCTTTTCCCACCCGCTCTGGTCACTTTCATTCCACTCCATATTTCCTTACCTGTGGTTTATTTTGTTCATTAGTTTATTTTGTTGAATAGATTCCACTTATAGGTGAGATCATATGGCATGTGTCACTGACTGGCTTATTTCACTTACTATAATATTCTCCAGTTCCATCCATGATGTCGCAAAAAGTAGGAGTTCCATCTTTTCTTTCTTTCTTTCTTTCTTTCTTTCTTTCTTTCTTTCTTTCTTTCTTTCTTTCTTTCTTTCGCAGATTGATTTTATTTATTTTTAAATGTCAAAATCCATTCTAAAATATTAAAAAATTTAAATCCATTATGAAGTCTCAGCAATTAAAACAACATGACACCAGCACAGAAATAATCGAGTAGATCAATGAAATATAATAAGCATTCTAGAAACAAATGTATATATCTTTCTAACAACGTAATAAATTGATATTTCAAATCAATGGGGAAAATAAGGCTTATTCAACAAATAAGGTGCATGGACCACTATTACTTGAAATAAAACAAATATAGAGCCCTATTTCACACATTATACAAGAAATATTTAGGTGAGTTAAAAGTCAATATGTAAAATCTAAGGAGTTTTCAGAGAAAATACAAACTAATATTTTTCTTACCCTGAAGTAACATATTCAAACCCAGAAGCTATAAAGTAAAATATTGACAATATGACTGTATTAAACATTTAAGACTATATAGTAATATACATGTAAAAAAAAGTTAAAGGACAAGGAGTAGAATAGAAAAGTATTTGCCACACATCTAAAAAAAAGGGTTAATAGGTTTTTTGTTTGTTTGTTTGTTTTTTAGGGCAAAAATTCTACAAACCTTTAATCAAAAAATGGACAAAGAATACCAAAAAGTCATTTAAAGCTTTTAAAAAAATAATAGAAATAGGCAAGAAATAGACAAAAAAGGTTTAGTTTCCACAAATAATAAAGGAACAATTAAAATAACATCATTGTCACAATCAGATTAGTATGTGCTTATACCCCCTCCCTCCCACAATCACCACAATGTAATCTATTCAGCTACCCTCTGCCTTTTGATTGAAGCATTTAAACCATTTACATTTAGAATCATTATGGATACTTATGTCTTTAATGCCATTGTATTCTTTTTTTAAGATTTTATTTATTTATTTTTAGAGAGAGGAAGGGAGGGAGAAAGAGAGGGAGAGAAACATCAATGCGTGGTTGGCTCTCACACGCCCGCTAGTGGGGACCTGGTCTGTAACCCCAGCATGTCTCCTGACTGGGAATCAAACCAGTGACCCTTTGATTCACAAGCTGGTGCTCAGTCCACTGAGCCCCACCAGCCAAGGTGCCATTTTATTCTTTATAACTATGTTCAACTGTTTCTTCTTCTTCTCCTTCTTCAAAAAAACCCTTTAACTTTTCTTGTAATACAGGTTTTGTGGTAATAAACCCTTTTAGCTTTTTCTAGTTTGGGAAGATCTTTACTTCTTCTTCAGTTTTAAATAATAGCCTTGCTGTGTACAGTAATCTTGGTTTTAGGTCCCTGTTTTTCATCACTTTGAACATTTTGTGCCAATCCTTTCTAACCTGAAATGCTTCTTTTGAGAAGCCACCTGACAGTCTTATGCGAGTGCCCTTGTAAGTAACTGTCTTTCTCTTGCTCCTCTTGAGATGCTCTCTTTGCCTTTAATTTTTGCCATTTTAATAAAACGTGTCTAGATGTGGCTTTCTTTGTGTTCATTTTCCTTGGGACTCTCTGCACTACCTGGACTTGTGTGCCTTTCTCCTTCAGGTTAGGGAAATTTCAGCCCTTATTTCTTCCAATAGGTAGTCTATCCTTTACTCCCTCTCTTCTCCTTTTGGTATCATTATAATGAAGATTCTGTTTCACTTTATCTTGCCCCAGAGGTCCCTTAAACTATCTTAATTTTTTAAATTATTTTTTCTTTTTGCTTCTCTGATTAGATGTTTTTTCTACCTTGTATTCCAAATTGCTGATTTGATCCTCTGCTTCATTCAACCTACTATTCATTTCCTCTAGTGTATTCTTCATTTCAGACATTATATTTTTCATTTATGACTGCTTTCATGGTTTTTATATCCTTAATCATGCTGTTGTAGTTTTCACTAAGTTCATTGTACATCCTTATATCCATTTTTTAACTCTATATCTGGTCAAGTGTTTGCTTTTATTTCACTTAGCTTTTTGTATGTGGTGGGGGGGAATTCCTCCTGTTCATTCATTTGGTGCTCGTTTCATTTTCTCCCTACTTTGGCTGCCTCTTTATGTTTGTTTCTAAGAATTAGGTAGATATGTCATGGACTTCCAGTCTTGGTAGGGTGTCCTTACAGAGCAGGTGTCCTATTAAGACCCAGTAGCACACTCTCCTTGATCACCTGAGCTCGGTGCTCCTAGACTGCCCCTTCTGTGATCTATGTGAGCCCTCCTCTTATAATTGGGTCTTGATTGTGATTGGCCTTTTAGGCATGGGTTTAACCTTCAGCCTGGCTGATCTTAAGGATCCACTCTAACTGCAGTATACAAGCTGTTGTGTGGGTCCTGACCACAATAAGCATAATTCACCTCAGCAGTGTCTTCTTCCTGTCAAGATCTTCTTTTGGACACGACATTTATGAAACTGTTTTGTCCTACTGTGATGCTGGAAGCTGCCCACTATGTGTGTTTGTTCTGGGTCTTTTTAGGAGGGACTCTGGTGCAGGACAATGTCAGATTCTGCCTGTGCCTGGCTCTGGACAACCTGTTTGGAGCTACAAAGCAATCCACATTTTGTGGCTGTCTCTGCTGGGCCTGAGTGTACATGGGCGGAAACAAGCTGTGCATCAAGGCCGGCTTCTGCCATCACTGAGTCCAGGAGCAGAAAAGCAAATGTCCAAAGCACACAGAGACCACCTTTTCCTGCCTTTTCCTGCTATTAGCCTGGGAGGCTCAGTCACTGAAAGAGTCTCTGGAGGTACTTGAGTGAATCACCAAGTAAAGGCAAGTGATGTTCATTAGATTGAAACAAATTCAATCTCTGTGACAGTGCTGGATCCAAGGCCCCTCAGAAAAAATCCCAGTGTATACCAAATTTAGCTGGCAACCCTTGGGTGCCTGCAGAAATTTGTGGTATGGTTGGGGGGTAGTCTCAGGAATTTGTCAGTGAGAGGGAAGAAGAATTTATCAGGCTGAAATAGACCAAGATTTGGCCATGTGAAGGGAGGCCTATGCATTGAACCGGCATGTGGGAGAAGAATGGCCCCCATCCTAGAGACACACAACTCAGCCTGTCCCAGATTCTGCCTGGTTCCCAGGAGCCCGAGCTCAGCAAGGCGGGGCTGCCAGAGTAGGGATGTTTCAGCTAGTGGATATCCCATGAGCAGGAGTGCAGTTTAGGGTTGGGGAAAAAAGGAGGAGTGGTGCCTGCACCAGAGCCACACAACTCAGTCACTGACACCACCCGAGACTCCCCAGGCCTCTACACACCTGCCCAGGCAGCTGACTCTTCAACAGGAGTAAACTTTGCCTGTGGCATGACAGGGAGCCTAGAGAGTGGGCCTATGGCATCCCCCAGCCTGATGCCATATGGAGTGAAGCTGTCCACCCACAAAAGACACAATCTGTGATGTGGGGAAAGGACGTAGCACAGGAATCCTGGTGGCTGTCCCTTCAGCTTTGTCCCCAGCGCCACAAACTCCGTCTCTTCTCACAGAGTCTATCCTACTCTGCCCTCTGTCGCCCAGGGACTAAGGTGACTGGCTTCAAAAGAGATTTTATGCACTGGCCCTTTAAGAAGGCACCTGTGTTTCTAGCGTACTCTCATTTATTTCTGGAAGACAGACTCCACCCTGGTTTTCACAACCAGGTGTGATATGGGCACCTCTTCTCAGCTCTGGTGCTCAGGGATGGGGAAGGGGCAGCATGGGGATGAGACTGCCACCCATTTTAGGTGAAATTTTGAAGCTGAGATATCCCTCCAGAATCTCAGCTGCCTCTTGTGGGAGTGAGGCCAGCCCCTTTCTGCATCTCCATCTTTCTTACCAGTCTCAATGTGACTTCTTCTGTGATCCCTTGACTGAGACCTTTATTCAGCTAGTCTTCAGTTGGTCATTCAGGTTGATTGTTCTATATTTTAGTTGTGATTCCAGTTTGGTCCTGGTACGTGTACCTTGCACCTACTCTGCTTCCATCCTGGATCTGTAAACCTAATATGGAAGTAACCAGAGTGGAGTCTGTGGTATGCCACTGCTACCTCTCTTTAGGACCGAGGCACTCATTACCTCAGCTACTAGGAGCATTGATTGGTGCAATCTTACAGCCAAGTCCTTGAAGAATTCCCCTTACCCAAAAGAAGCTTTTTTGGCCCAAGGCTGTGCCTTTTCTCCTGGGAAACTCTGTATAAATATCTGCAAAGATGCACAAATACCTAGCTCCTTTGCCTTAATTTGAGGCAACTCCAAAGGCTGATGTCCCAGCTCCACATCTCCCCATAGAATTGTCTCAAATCTCTGCTAAAACTGCAATTCTGTTCAACCTCTCTCATGCCCCGTCCTCCTGCCCTCCCTCCTTTACAGGTGTTACTTCTGAGAGTACTTCTCAATAAACTTCCTGTACACAAATCTATCTTAGAGTCTGTTTTCTCAGAACCCAGTCTAACCAGGCAATATCAAGACCTAGCTAAATCCAACTCTTACTTTCTCCAAGCCTGAACCATGCAACTGAAAATAACTGGAAAAAGAACTCCAGCATGCCGGCCGGCCTCATGTTACGTTAATGCTCACTATACCACAGGTGGGTCCTTGACACTCCTCAGAAGCCATTATTTTCTTTCCTAATCTATTTTTTCACTCTCCAGGACAATTAGTTTAGATTTTCTCCTCTAGTATTCCACAACTTCTTCTACAGCTTCACTCTCAGCTGGTTGAACATATTTCCCACTGTAATGGGAAAAAAAAAAAAATTAGAATAGAATTTTCAAAAGCTCCAATATCAAATCTACCTATCTGCCAGAATCAGATTTAATATACTCTACTTTCTATGTTATTATTGTGGGGAAACTGTCCATACTACCAACAGGGCAAATCCCTCCACCTAAGCACAAAATCTCCATTTTTCATTGCCTACTCAAAGACACTGCTCTATTAAGTCTTCTCCCGTTCCCTCCCTCTCCTGCATCATCAAACTTTCCCTTTACATTACATCATTGCCACACCATAAAATACGCTG